GACTGATAAAAGGTCTGATCTTCATCCGCATCGGGTTGATACGAGGTCGAAGCTTCGGGAAGATCGTTAAATGGCTGTGGTGGGTTAAACTGCATCGTTGAAGCACCGTATACATCATATGCCATTCTTTGATCCCACGTCATTTGATCATAGTCTCCCCATCCACTCATCTCGGTAGGGACGTTACGAGATGAACCTACTGTTTGTGGTAAAAGTGATGGATCGAAAGGTTCGCCATGAGAAGTCCAATTATAATAATTGACAACGAAACCTTTTTCGTACAAATCCCACACAACTTGGTCGACATCTTTAAATTGAAGATTTTTACACTTTGTACATGGACATCTGATTTTATCTCCATCCATATAATTCTTCTGTTCTTGTGCAAATTTAATAAAATCTTCAACACCATTCAAAAATTCACTGCGTATTCCATAGTTATCGCGATGTTTTTGGTACATCCAACTTCTGTTTTGTCTATACATTATGCCTGTATATATATTATAATCAAAATAATATATAAGTACATTAATATTATTAATTAACTAAAAGCAGTACATTATTGAATTTGTGGCATTAATAATTTGAATTAACCAACTTTAATTTGTGACATTAACTAAAAGCGTTAATTTACTAATATTTAACTAATAGTAATATGTTAATGGCATTAATCGTTTTAATTATTAACTAATAAAGTTTGAATCCTAACTGAAATCACTACAAATCCTAAATTATGCATTAACAATAATTAACTAATAAACAAATTAAACCTAATCATCATCATTGATCAATTAATTAACTAATATTTAAATCTAACTAATATTATCAACTCAAATTCTAAATCCATTTCCTCAATGTTTTAACTTAATTAATTAGTTAATTAATTTACATTTAACTAATATTATTGTTAAATATTATCTCATTAATAATTCACAATAATAATTCACAATAATAATTCACAATAATAATTCACAATAATAATTCACACTAAACTAAATAAAAATAAAGTTTCAACCCTAGCTATATATATTATGCATCCCATTAACAATAATTAACTAATTTAACTTATTAATTAGTTAATTTCCATTTAACTAATATTGTTAAATATAATTAATTCACAATAATATATAATTCACACTTAACTAATAAAGTTTGAATCCTAACTTAAATCACTACAAATCCTAAATTATGCATTAACAATAATTAACTAATTAATAAACAAATTAAACCTAATCATGCATCATCATTGATCAATTAACTAATATTTAAATCTAACTAATATTATCAACTCATCAAATTCTAAACCCATTTCCTCAATGTTTTAACTTAATTAATTAGTTAATTAATTTACATTTAACTAATATTATTGTTAAATATTATCTCATTAATAATTCACAATAATAATTCACACTAAACTAAATAATAATAAAGTTTCAATCCTAGCTAGCTATATTAATTATGCATCCCATTAACAATAATTGCTAATAAATAATAATTGGTGATAATTAATAACCTAATAATTAAGCTAGCTAACTAATTAATTAAATCACTACAAGTCACTAATTAATTAATCTATAATAAGCTAGCTAATACTTAAATCATCACTACACATCCTAAATTATTATGCATTAATAATAACAATAATTTAACTAATTAATATTTATATTTAAATTTAACTAATTAAATTACGTTAATAGTTTAATAATATATTGTTAATAATATGAAAATTAACATGACCTCACTAAATTACGTTAATAGTTTAAATAAATGAACAACTAACCTCACTAATTAATTATTAAGCTAATAATTAATTATTATTATATAAAGAAAAACGAATCCTAACCTCACTAATAATAATTAATTATTAAGCTAATAATTAATTTATCACACAATTAAAAGAAATTAGTTAAAATGACATACCTTATCTGCATAAACTCGGAAAATGATGAACTGACGGATTACATCATTCAATCTTTAAACCGATACTACATCACTCGAATCTACGAATTTTTGAACTGATAATTGTTGTTCTTGCAATTGTAATGGACGATGGAGTTGGGTTATATAAAAAAATTTGTCACGGATTTGTCACGGATTTATCCGTGACAAATCTTTTTCCGTACCGTATTATAAAGTTTACCGCTGGAAAATCAATAATTGAGTTTTTTTTAAATTTGTCACGGATTTGTCACGGATAAATCCGTGACAAATCTTTTCCCTTACCGTATTATTAAAGGTTACCGCTTGAAAATCAATAATTGAGTTTTTTTGAAATTTGTCACGGATTTGTCACGGATCTGTCCGTGACAAATGCCCGGAAGCAAAAAAAGTATTCACCGGAGTAAAAAACCGGTCGCCGGAGTAAATTTGTCACGGACCAAATCCGTGACAAATAATTTTCGTGACAAATCCCAAAATTCCGTGACAAAGCCCGTGACAACTTTGTCACGGCCGGAATCCGTGACAAAAATCCACGGTCTTATGTGTTTTTGGTAAGTTTTTCCCTGCAATGTCAATCACAATGTTTACATCTAGACATTGTGCTTGACATTGTGAAGAAAAACTTACCAAAATGATATAAGATTCTTCAAATAAGGAGAGAGATATTCTGTTTATTATTTTTTCATTGGCTATCTCTCATGACACGTATGCACCGTTAACGTTTTAGCATTGAAGATGCTCTAAGAATCTCGCATAAAATACTTCTCAGCCCTTTTCGTATTTTTTCCTAATAATAAATCATACGTATTTATTATCCCGCCATCCCACAGTCCCACTAAAGTAATAAAGTTACTACAAATAAAACTTATTTATAAAAATGTGATTAATAATTACTTTACCCATCTCACTTAGATTGTGTTATCACAACTTTTTTACTCTATCTCATTAAAATTGACTTATACCAAATTTGATAAAATTATGTGGTTCTAAATGATGATTACTTTATCCTTAGTTTATCAATTTAATACTCTATCCATCCCTTAAAACTTTGTCAACTTTCTTTTTTTGGATGTCCCACTAACTTTGTCATTTTCCCTTTTAAGTAATTAATTTGTGGTTCAAATTAATTATCTCTCTTCTGCACAAACCTTTACCACACAGTTTTTACTTTATTAATCCACGTGTCAGTCAAACTTGGCAAAGTGTTAAGAGACGGAGGGAGTTGATAATCAAACATATAATTACACTTTTCTTAATAACCAAACCGCTTCTTATATCCTAATGTTAATGGAAAAGAGGGAATACTATATGGAGTAATACAATGTAGAGTTCATTTGGTAACATTGAAGTCGGCTGAATCGGCTTATTCTGCTGAAATTTATGAAGTATTAGCTAAAGTAGCTATATTGTTTGGTTCCGCTGATTTATGAAAAAATGTATTTAAAATATATTATATTTATCAAAAAGAAAAAATTATATGAAAAAATTGCTAAAAAATCATCTAGAGTATCTTTAGCCAATATAAATTTAATATAAACAGCTGCAATTTCCAGTAAAAAAAATGTTCAATGTTGCCATTGAAACTTCCGAAGTGGTACATAATTCCAACACGCAGTTTGGAGCAATGTGATAAAATTAAGGATGGGTTTTAATTTGGTTTGAACAATTCAATTGCTTAACCCACATTGGCCTTGTTTGGTAAATGGTTGTTAGCTGTTGCTGGTAGCTGGTTGTGTCAGCTGTTGCGAAACAGCTGGTTGTGTTAACTGTTTTGACCGACTGGTTATGTTGGCTGATTATAAATAACTGTTTGGTAAAATTGGCTCTTTCGAAATGGCTGATAGAGTGTAAATTGAACCAGCCAAATGAAGAAGCTGCTCCCCTTAGCTTCTTCCACAATCCATTTTTTCAGCTTTTCAAACTCAACAAGCTAATTTTAAAAGCCATTTACCAAACATTATTATTAGCTTCTTTGACTAATCAAACAGTTGAAACGGGTCAAACAAGCTAAAAGCTGGCTGATAAGCCATTTGCCAAACATACCCATTGTGAAACACATAGCAGTATAGTAGGGGGTAATAGAGTAGTTTTAATATTTATTTATTATTGTGGGCTTCTATGGTAATTCTGACTATTATTATCTATAAATATATCTGTCAGGGCTATCATTAGGTTAAGCTTGAAAATTATTCTCACATGGTATCAAGAGCCAGAACCTGTTTACCCTAAATTTTTTTCCGGCCTCATGTCTTCAGCCGACTCCATCTCTGCCGCAGCAGGCGTCTCCACCGCCGTCGACAGTTCTTCTTCCAATCATGCACCGGTGACCACCACCGTCGTTGCAATGCCAGTTATATCCCAGATTTCATCCATGCTGCCGCCTCCCAATTTGTTCACGACAACAGACGGCGCACCATGGGTGTCGCCGGTCTTGAACTGGTCTCCTACCCGGCCTCAGTCTCTTCCGTAGCAGTCGTTCTTCTCCGGTGTCGTCGGCTCTTCTCCAATGGTGAATTCCGGCTCTGGCTTTGCAGGCCCCACCTTCGCTGGTAATCCGGGAATCGCTCCTTTGCCCGCTTCCACGTCCATAGGACCGATTGCACCACGGTCTAGTGCCCCAATTCCAGGGTTCTCTTTATCTAAATTGGTTAAAACATTGGTTTCTCGGCACTCAATATTACAAATATTGTTACTATAAAACTTGTTGTTGTTGAGAATTATCTAACTTGGCATACTCAGTTTGAGTCCTTCTTGGTCTCCAATGGTTTTTTGGGAATTTTAGATGGCTCTATTCTTGCTCCCTCTCCGTATATTTACGATGCATAACATCATGGGACAATAAACTTTAAATATTATAATTGGTTGAAACTAGATCAAACTGTACGTTCATGGTTGTTTGCTACATTATCTCGTGATGTATTAATTGAGGTGTGTGAGTTAAAAAATGCCTTTGCCATTTGGAATCAGTTGGAGTCACGTTTTTTGTGTGCTAGTCTTGCTCGCTCCATGGAATTAAAATGCCAGCTTACCCACTCTAAGAAGAGTCCTACGCAGTCCATGGAACACTAGTTTCTTGATATTAAAAATATTGGTGATAATCTTGCTGCCATCAATGCCCCTGTGTCTCACCGGGAGTTGTTACGATATATTTTACTTGGTCTTGATCGGGATTATGAGTCTCTTATCACGTCGGTGGACTTATTTCCGGATAGTTTTACTTTTGAAAATCTTCAGACCAAGCTAGTCGAGAAGGAGCAGTCTCCAATACATGCGCTCTCAAGAAGAGTATAATCCCGCACAAGCTTTTGTGGGTCATCTCCAGCAGCCCGCACAGCCGCAGCCAGGCGGCGTTCAGCCACAGCAGGGTGCTGGGCAGCAACCACAGGGTGTCGGACAGCAGCAGCCCGTTGGCGGGCAAGCACCTCGGGGACGCGGTCAGCGGGGTGGCCGCGGTGGCCGTGGTCAGCGGGGTGGCCGCGGTGGCCGTGGTCAGCGGGGTCGGGGCTACGGTCAGTATCAGCCTGGCCATGGTTATGCTCCACACTTTGGTTATGGTGATCCTCCACCGGGCTACTTTCCAGGGGGTGCACCGCATGGTGGCATTCTTGGGGCTCCAGGTTTAGCGGGTATGCCTGCTCAGTCAAAATTTTATACTTATGCCTTATATATATATATATATATATATATATATATATATATATATATATATATATATATATATATATATATATATATATATATATATATATATATACTTTTTCTACTAACCATGGCTATGTAAGCTCTTCCTCAGTGGAGGGAAACTCAGTTCCTCCTCCGGTTGTTTGTCAAATTTGCTATGCTCCAGGTCATCCAGCCTCCAAATGTCCCTCTCATTATGTTCAGCCGGCTGCACCTGCTCTTGCTGCTCAGGCTCCTGACGCTTCTGACATGGTTTGGTATCCTAATTCAGGTGTCTCAGCGCATATGACTCCTCATTCAGTTATTTTGTCAAATAAATCCTTTTCTCTAAACTCTCATTCTATAGTTGTAGCAAACAGAACAACTCTCCTGGTTAAGCACACTGGTCAGGTAACATTATCATCCTCTCCTAGGCCTCTCCACTTAAAATATGTTTTACATGTTCCTCACATTAAATACAATCTTTTGTCCATTCAAAAATTGTGTGCTGATAACAACTATGCTGTGATTTTTGATAAAAATCATTTTTTAAGGATTTAACAACGAGGGTGGTCCTTCTTCGAGCTCTCAGTGATAATGGTGTCTATCCCATCCGTCAGCCTGCTCCTCCACTAGTTGCTCTTTCTGCTGCGTCTATTTCCATATGCCATAATAGATTAGGACATTGCGGTACTCGTGTACTAGATCAATTAAGAATGAATAATTTTATTTCTGGCACTTCTGCTAATATTTCTGATTGCATTCCCTGTCGTTTGGGAAAATCTCAACAGTTACCCTTTAATAAAGTTTTTCATAATAGTCCTGTTGGGTTAATGGCCCAACAAAGTCCGGCCCATCAACCCATAAGGACCTCCTATGAACGTCCCCGGAAGTCCCACGAGGACCTTCTACGAACGTCCTGTTGGAGGCCCAAGACGATGGGTTACCTGCTGCTGGTTCGGAAAGAGGTTCGTCCTGAAGAGGGTCAAGCTTCACCACCAAGGGTCATGGGGGACATACGTGCTCTATTGTCAGCAGGTATCATGGCCCAAGAATAGCTCAAGATGCTCGTCTTGCGGGACTTCGGGTCTAGCAGGAAACAGGAGGCAAGCGCATGGGGACGAACGTCCCCAACCCTTGGGTGCATGCCAAGACTCCAACAGGAGACAGGAGCCAAGTGCCTAGGGACGAACGTCCCCACCCCTTGGCAGGATGCCAAGACTCCAGCAGGAGATAGAAGTCAAGTGCCTGGGAACGAACGTCCCCACCCCTTGGCAGGATACCGAAACTCCGACAGGAGACAGGGAGCAAACGCATGGGGATGAACGTCCCCATCCCTTGGCGGGAAACCAAGATCTTGGCGGGAAGCGCATTTAATGCAGAAGATTTGGTGGTTGGGATCGTGCCGTCCACAGCCATCCACGTCAACGCATCCAACTACGCCTTGGTGATATAAATAGAGGCATTTATTTCACTATAAAGGGTTCACATTTTAGCACTCTAGCATTATAGCAATTGTATCAGCCCATAGCCTAGCATTGTATGAACGGCCTCTCGGCTCTGTAATCGTTTCAGTGAATAAACACTCCTTATTGGGCCTTCCTTGCTCGTTTCTTCATCTAACTTACTAAATCATCCACTCGAGACCCTTAGGTTACGTGTTGGGCCTACGGGTTGAAGGAATAAACCTCAACACTGGCGCCGTCTGTGGGAACTTGATCAAAAAGTTCTTTCAAACTAAGCTCTCATCTAAAAGGTCATTCCAAAAACAATCAAAAACCAAGTAAGATGGCAGCTAACAACGCAGGTAACTCCCAAGATCTCTCTTCATGGCTAGCTCACAACAGGAGGAGCCGTAACTAGGCAACGGGCCCCCAGTTCAGCAGCTTATGGTCTCGCGGGGACTTCGGGGTACTCACTAACTTGATCCCTCAGGAAGTCCGGTGGGACCCGAATGCCTTAAAGGAGATAGCAGACACCATCCACCGTTTGGCGGACGAACGGGAGGCGGAACGCGTGTACTCTGCTAACACCGAGCGAACATCATTCTCCCCTCTCTATTCGATGCAAACGCTCAGCGAGCGTACTGGTGAGAACGATGATTCTCACCAATCGGTCCATACTAGGATCGTCAGGAACATCGACTCTCCGAATATGGTATGCAACGGGGGAACCAGGCTCTTCGGAGGAGCGTGGTGGCACACAGTCCGGGACCACACACCAGTGATGCCCCACAATGATCAAGCTGCAAGGGAGCACCCCCCGGATGGAAGGCATGATGCAGGAGGCCCGCATCATCCATGGGCAGCACAACTTCGGAACCTTGCGGAGGGATGATGCCTTAGCACCGGTAAACCCCACACCTGTTATCACCGACCCCCGGGACGCTATGCTCATGAACATGCAAAGGCGGATCGATGAGTTGAACCGACGGGCGGACACTGACCCGGCTCAGCCCAGGATCGCTCTATCTTCTCCTTTCTCCGCCAGGATCATGGCGATGGAGATTCCGAGGGACGTCAGGCCCCCCTGCGGGACTGATTTACAACGGGGCCTGGGGCCCCAAGGCTCATTTGCTTTCCTTTCAAGGAACGCTTTCCATGCTGGGAGCCTCTGATGAGGCCATCTGTAGGCTGTTCTTCAGCACCATCAGAGGGCCAACACAGGAATGGTTCGGGCAGCTTAGGCCCGGATCCATTGACGGTTTTGAACAACTTTCCAGGCAATTCATGGCGCAGTTCGCCTCCAGCTCTACAACGAAGAAACATTCAGCTGGGTGACGAACGTCCGCCAAAATAAGGGGGAGTCCCTATCCGCTTTCCTCATCAAGTGGAGGGACGAAACTCTGAAGGTGGAGGACCTCCCGGGACACCGGAATTACCCTCTTCACCAACGCACTCACAACTGGGAATCTCTACCGAGATTTGAAGAGGAACCCCATAAATAATTACATCGAGGTGCTGGCTAGGGCACAAAAATTCGCTGCTATCGAGGAGGAAATTGCTTAGCGGGATGGGGTTATAACTCCTGCAACACGCAAAGTGGGGGACTAACTGGGTCCTGGGTCGGAGGATTCTCCCGCACAGAAGAAGAAGAAGAAGAAGAAGAAGAAGAAGAAGATGGTCGGCGGTTACGTTCCTTGGGGTGCACAAGAACATGTCGGGGACGTACGTGGCAAGGATATCGGGTACGCTCCTTTGGCCTACCCAATAAGCCTGATATTTGGGGCCATCAAGGACAAAGGGCTACTCGAGGAGCCTAGGCCAAACAAGGGACACACAATGGGCCATGACATGGAGGCCTATTGCGAGTATCATCGGAAACCCGAGCACAATATGGATGACTGCAACAGCTTGAAGTTTGCCATCAGGGATCTCATCAAAAGGGGTTACCTTGGGGAGTTCACTACCAGGGCACCCCCAAGGTCACTCAAAACCTCACAGGAAGCCCAACAACTGGCGGCGAGACGATCAACGGGAGGCTGAGGTCAAGGACGTAGATTTCCGTCACGGCGATAAGCGACCCGAAACGTCTCTTGGGCTGATCGGTTTCAAGAAGAAGTTGGAAATAAAGATGATCTTCGGAGGTGCAGAGACCGGAGATAGCCCGCCAGAGAGGATGAAGTTCGAAAGGGCCCTCCAAATCAATTCCATATCCGAACCTCCCGCCAAGAAGCACAAGACCGAGCCTATTGTATTCGGTTCGGCGGATTTACCTAAATCATCAGGGGCCCACAGGGACGAGCTGGTGATTAGCATGGATATCAGGGATTGGATCATTCGATGAGTCTTGGTTTACATAGGTAGGAGCGTCAACGTCCTATATTGGGACGTTTTCGAAAGAATGCATCTAAGCAGGACTGAGCTGACCCCCTTGTGGACGCCCTTGGCTGGGTTCACCGGTCACAGCATTAAGGCCGAAGGAACAATTGTCCTACCAGTAGAGATTGGAGATGGGGAACACCATGCGACGATCCCTATGACATTTGTGGTCGTGCGGCTGAAGCGTGCCTACAATGCCATTTTGGGAAGACCAGGCTTGGAAGACCTGGAAACCATCTGCTCCGTACGGCATTCCTGCATCAAATTCCCCACGGAGACAGGGGTGGGAGTAGCCCGTACGGACCCAGACACAGCGAGGGCATGTTACAAAGAGGCCGTAAAGAAGATGACCGAACGGGGTATGAGGGTCAACAATATCGCTGAGACCGCTCAGCGGGAAGATGCCTTATCCCGACCAGAGCCGAAAACGCTGTTTGAGGAAATAGAACTGGATGACCCTTCAGACCGGATGGTATCCATTGGGGCTGGATTGGAGCCCGAGATCCAAGAGGGTGTGATCCTCGTCCTCCAAAGGTTCAAGATATTGTTCGCCAGGGGACCGGAGGACATGCAAGGGATTGACCCGAAGATTATCAGCCATAAACTGACCGTTCGGTCGGACGCCAGGCCCATCTAGCAAAAAAAGAGATATATGGCGGCCAACCGAAGGGATTTCATTAAGGTGGAGGTCACCACCTTGCTCAACATATGCCACGTTCGACCAGTTATGCACGTGGAGTGGCTTTCCAACGTCGTTTTGGCACCCAAGGGGCCCACATAGCGGATGTGCGTTGACTACTCCGACCTCAACAAAGCTTGCCCAATGGATCCTTATCCCGTACCGAGGATTGATCTTTTGGTAGATGAGACCGCAGGGTGTGAACTGCTCAGCTTCATTGATACCTTAAGAGGGTATCACCAAATGTTCATGCACTCGGACGACGCCGAAAAGACTGCATTTGTCACGTCGGACGAGGTGTGCTGCTATGTTGTCATGCCGTTCGGCCTAAGGAACGCGATGGCAACCTTCGAGAGGATGATCGAGATATTGTTCAAAGAAGTCCTCGGCAAAATCATGGAGGCGTACATGGACGATATCCTGATTAAAAGCAAGAAGAAAGAGAACCACATCCAAGACATGGAGAAGGTTTTCACCATCATGGATGGGGCGAACGTGAGGCTGAACCCGAAGCAAAGCACCTTTGCTGTCAAGGAGGAAAATTCCTTGGTTACATGATGAGTGAACGGGGGATCGAGCCTAACCCAAAGAAGGTAGGGGGTTCAGGGACCTCTCCGTTCTGCACAGCCTCAACCTGCCTCTGGTCCCGATCGACTTTGGCGATGACCCTCTGGAGCTGCTGGTCCTCCATGTGATCATCCATATTGAAAGATGGGCAATCGACCCGAGGGAGGATCTGCTTCAGGCACTTCACACCTAGGTAGTATCCCTTGGTAAAGCTATCATCGGCCAAGTAAAGGATCCACTCGGCACCGAGCGTCCTTCATCGCAAAAGCTACACCCCATGGGCCAGGCGCTCCTTGTGTTTCTTTGCTTGCAGCTCGTCCTCAAAAACATCCCCTACGCCCCCAGCAGTAGTCGTGGGCGGTCTTCAGAAAGAGCGGCATCTTCTTGAATTCAGAGACATCAAGAGCCAAGGTGAGAGCGTCGCAAGGAGCGGCCTCTCCTTCAGGGGACAGAGCCGAAACAGTAGCATGGACAAAGGAGATTCCGTGTTTCTCCACCAAGGGCACCTTGGCAAGGAGGTCTTGCTTCTCCTTCTGAGCTAAGTCCAGAGCGGTCTGGAGCTCCCTCTTCTCAGCCGCCACAGCCGCCTCCTTCGCCCGCGCGGCCTTCCGCTCAGCTTTCAGGGCCTCATCAGCTCTCCTTTTGGTCTCAGCAGCATCCTGCTCCCGAGCGGCCTCCACCTGCAACATGCTCAATCCAGCTTAAAAGGGGAAAACATGGAATCATAAAGGGACGAACGACAGAACGAGGTTGTCATAATAATAATAATAATAATAATAATAATAATAATAATAAGCATAAAGCATAAAGGGATAGGGCCTTGCCTCGAAGGTCAACGCCAGGGCATGTTTAACAGCCTCGTGTGAGGAACTCGCTGGTAGATCCACCCCAGTTTGAAGAGCCATATCTCTCCCGACTTCAGGAACCGGGCGGCCTGGACAAGGCAGCATAACGTCGAGGGCCTTGGGGCCAGAGGGCTCAGTGCGTTGCCTCTTCGGTTTCTTCCCTTTGTCTTTCCCCCCATCTGCGGGAGGGGCGGTACCCACCGGCTCCACATCCAGAATCGGGCCGGTTTCAGCATCGAGGGCCCCCAAGGTCTGCCCAGTCAAAGCTGCGATGACCTGCTGTTCAGCTTCTCCAACGCGTCTAGCAGCTTGGGATGCAACAGAAGAGTTGGCCTTAGAAGATGCGGCGGCCCTTCGTATCGCCTCCAGCGCAGCACACTTCTTGGCTGCCTTGGCCTCACGGCGAGACATCATGACAGTGTCCTCCATCTGTTCTTCGGTAGGGGGGCCTGAAAAAAGAAAGAAGAATGTCAGAACCGGGTGACACTAATCTCAAGGGCACTCACCTCAGGGACTGGACCGCCCAGGTCCGCAGAATAAGTCATGAGGGAATACTAATCCAGGGATCACGAGCGGTACTTATC